GCTAGTGTTACTCCACAGGCACTCACAGAGCACAGCTAGTGTTACTCCACAGGCACTCACAGAGCATACCTAGTGTTACTCCACAGGCACTCACAGAGCACAGCTAGTGTTACTCCACAGGCACTCACAGAGCACAGCTAGTGGTTACTCCACAGGCACTCACAGAGCAAGCTAGTGTTACTCCACAGACACTCACAAGCACAGCTAGTGTTACTTCACAGGCACTCACAGAGCAGCTAGTTGTTACTCCACAGGCACTCACAGAGCACAGCTAGTGTTACTCCACAGGCACTCACAGAGCTGAGCTATTGTTACTCCACAGGCACTCACAGACCACAGCTAGTGTTATTCCACAGTCACTCACAGAGCATACCTAGTGTTACTCCACAGGCACTCACAGAGCATACCTAGTGTTACTCAACAGGCACTCACAGAGCACAGCTAGTGTTATTCCACAGGCACTCACAGAGCACAGCTGTGTTACCTACAAGGCACTCACAGAGCACAGCTAGTGTTACTCACAGGCATCACAGAGCACAACTGTGTTATTCCACAGAGTCACAGAGCATACCTAGTGTTACTCCACAGGCACTCACAGAGCATACCTAGTGTTACTCCACAGGCACTCACAGAGCACAGCTAGTGTTACTCCACAGGCACTCACAGAGCAGTATAGTGTTATCCACTGGTAACTAAATCACAGCGGAGGTTGGACGCTGACCACTTCAACAACACACCTACTCTCTTACACACAGACATTAGAGTATAGTATTAATTAGCATACTACATAGTATTATGTTATTATTAGGCACTCATTATATTATTACTATTGTTATTATTATTATGTACTACATTATATCTAGTTATTATTATTATTCCTATTTATATTATATTATTATTATAGTTTTACTTACTTATTATTATTGTTATTATACACTATTGTTATATTATTATTATTATATTATTATTATTATTATTATTATTATTATTATATTCATTGTTATTATTATTATATTATTATTATTATTATTATTATCATTATATTATTATTACTTATGTTTATTATTATTTTTATTATTATTATTATTATTATTTTATTATTATTATATTTATTATTATTATTATTTTATTATCATTTATTATTATTATTATTATTATTATTATTATTATTATTGTTATTATTATTATGATTATTATTATTATTATTATTATTATTATTATTATTATTATTATTATTATTATTATTATTATTATTATTATTATTAAGTCAGGGGATTCACTGTCAAGTGCTCGTCGTGATGTAGTTATTATACCCACACCATTAATCCAGCTGCTGCTATACCCACACCATTAATCCAGCTGCTGCTATACCCACACCATTAATCCAGCTGCTGCTATACCCACACCATTAATCCAGCTGTTGCTATACCCACACCATTAATCCAGCTGATGTTATACCCACACTATTAATCCAGCTGCTGCTGTACCCACACTATTAATCCAGCTGCTGCTATACCCACACCATTAATCCAGCTGTTGTTATACCCACACTATTAACCCTGCTGTTGCTGTATCCACACTATTAATCCAGCTACTGCTATACCCACACTATTAATCCAGCTTCTTCTGTACCCACACTATTAATCCATCTGCTGTAACCACTCCAGAGAGAGAGAGAGAGAGAGAGAGAGAGAGAGAGAGAGAGAGAGAGAGAGAGAGAGAGAGAGAGAGAGAGAGAGAGAGAAGAAGAAGAGAAGAAGGGAAAGAAGATCAGAGCAGCAACTACAGACCAGTGTTACTACTGTCAATCACTGGTAAGATCCTTGAGACAATAATCTCAAGACAAATGACAGAGTTTTTTGACTACCACTTACTACTTTGTGATCGTCAATATGGCTTCAAGAAAGGTTACTCTGCTGCTGATCTGTTGTTAAACCTCTCCACTAAGTGGCACCAGTCACTGGATGAGTCCAAAGTCAGCTGTGTGGTAGCACTGGACATTGCTGGCGCTTTCGACCGGGTGTGGCACCAGGGCCTCTTAGCAAAACTTCAAGCACTGGGAATTGCAGGCTCTACGCTATGTCTCCTCAGTGACTACCTTCATGGTAGAGCTCTAAGTGTAGTTCTCAATGGAACGGAATCAGCAAGACATCCTATTGGGGCAAGTGTTCCACAAGGAAGCGTGCTGGGACCATTGTTATGGAATGTCTACTTCAACGACCTTCTTCATCTCATCCCAGAATCACATGCATATGCAGACGACTGTACACTGACATTCACTTATCCAAGAGAAGAAGTGCCAGCTGCTCTAAGCTACATCAATCACCAGCTAAGAGCTATATCAGCTTGGGGAAATAGATGGCAAGTAACATTTGCACCTGAGAAAACGCAAATGATGATCGTCTCTAGGCACCATGATGGTAATGCTGGTGCAGTAGTAAAGATGAATGGAGAAGAAGTTGATATCCTTGGGGTGAAATTTGACTCCAAACTAACCATGAAGAACCATGTTGTAAATCTTGCAAACAAGGCAGCCAGGAAGCTTACAGCACTTCGCCGTATCTCGCATCTGCTTGACAGTAGGGGTTGCAAGATTCTGTACGAGGCACAAATACGCTTACACCTTGAGTATGCTCCACTTTCTTGGTTTGTCTGCCCCCCCTCTCATCTGCGACTGCTTGACAGAGTAGAGAACAGAGCAAGACGTCTCATCTCTCGCGTGGACCCATCCTGGATAGATCTGGCATTTCAGCAGAGCCTTCAACACAGGAGAGATGTGGGTGGCCTTACTGTTATGTACAAGGCCAATATTGTCAAAGTACCACGCTTGGATTCACTTCGAGGACAGCGTGAAACAAGCTTTTATGCCACAAGATGGGCAGAAAGTAGCAACTTCACTTTGGCTGTACCCTTCTCCAGAACATCACTCCGTCTGAGATCATATTTACCCAGGATGACTCGAGTATGGAACACATTCGTACAGCATAATGATGTCAACGAGATAAAGACAGTTGATAAAATGAAAATGCTGGCCCACAGATGGTTCCAACTTCATCCTGTTCCCTACTTGTATGTCTCATAACAATAAAAATGCTTTCAAATGAGCTGATGTAGGTAACAGCTCTTAGCTTGCCAATAAAGTTAGGAATCCTTAACCTGTAAATAGCTTGTCAATAAAACTAGGGATCCTTAACCTTGTCAAACCCTGTGTAAAAAAAAAAAGAGCGAGAGAGAGAGAGAGAGAGAGAGAGAGAAGAGAGAGAGAGAGGAGAGAGAGAGAGAGAGAGAGAGAGAGAGAGAGAGAGAGAGAGAGAGAGGAGAGAGAGAAAAGAGGAGAGAGAGAGAGAGAGAGAGAGAGAGAGAGAGAGAGAGAGAGAGAGAGAGAGAGAGAGAGAGAGAGAGAGAGAGAGAGAGAGAGAGAGAGAGAGAGAGAGAGAGAGAGTCAGTGAGAATGAATGTGATACTGATACTTTCCAGACTGTACCAAACAACTCTAAAAAGTCTTGAGAAGTTTACAACAGAGCCGTTCGTGCCTACTTCCTCTTCCTTCCCCTACTCTATCTTCCCTCCCCTCCCCATCCCTCCCTTCCCCTCCCCACCTCTCCGCTCCCTCCCCACCTCTCACCCACGTGCACACAATATTCTTTGAGTGCACACCAGACCATAAACACAACACCACATACCATGCCATAACATTCTAAAACCACAACAAATGCTTACGAAAGAAGGATGAGGATTAGGAGCAGAGGGAAGGAAAAGGTGAAGGAGGATGAGGATAACCCTCTTTGATCATCAAGGTTTCGAGTGACAAGAGAGCATCCACAAACAAGTGATAGTTAATCAATAACAACAATGCGACTAGCCGAGGATTGAACCCGTGGCGGGCTAAAACAACACGGGTTCGAATCCTCGGCTAGTCGTGCAAGTCTCTCACGGCTAAGAATCTGTTATCTTAACTTAACTCATCTCAAAGCCCGTCTCTAGTGATACCTTATGAAAACGTTATTAGAAATTTCGCAAGGATTTTACGGGTCGCGCTTCAAAAATTTTAACCGATTTTCTGTTGCGTCTGATTTTCCTCTGAGCTTAGTTTTTTCCCCTCTCCTTCGCCCGAGGCGCGGATTCGTTAGCTCATGCATACAACCTAGTTTAGGTGATGGAATATGAGGGAGAAATGTAGATAGCCTTTGTTTACACTGTGTGACACTGTCATAAAGAATAGGATAGGATGTCACGACGGGTGTTTCTAGAACGTAACTTTCATTCACAATTAGCTAGCTTCACACTACGGGTATTCCTTCAACGTAACTGTCTCACACAATAAGCAAGCTTCACACTACGGGTGGTCCTTCAACGTAACTATCTCACACAATAGGCTAGGCTCACACTACGTGTGTTCCTTCAACGTAACTATCACACACAATAAGCTAGCTTCACACTACGGGTGTTCCTTCAACGTAACTATCTCACAGAATAGGCTAGCTTCACACTACGGGTGAACATAGGCTTTTTACACAGAAACATCCGAGGCCACTGACCTTCATGGTATATGGGGTGCACCTGGTTGTTGTAATTCATGAGAAGGTCTGATTTTCCTCTGAGATTAGTTTTTTCCTCTCTGGGCCCGAGGCGCGGATTCGTTAGCTCATGCGTGCAACCTAGCTTAGGTGATGGAATATGAGGGAGAAATGTAGATACCTGTGTTTACACTGTGTGACACTGTCATAAAGAATAGGATAGAATGTCACGACGGGTGTTCCTAGAACGTAGCTATCATTCACAATAAGCTAGCTTCACATTACGGGTGTTCCTTCAACGTAACTGTCTCACACAATAAGCTAGGCTCACACTACGGGTGTCCTTACAACGTAACTATCTCATACAATAAGCTAGCTTCACACTACGGGTGTTCCTTCAACGTAACTGTCTCACTCAATAAGCTAGACTAACACTACGGGTGAACATAGGCTTCTTACAGAGAAACATCCGAGGTCACTGACCTTCATGGTATCCGGGGCGCACCTGGTTGTTGTAATTCATGAGAAGGTTTTCCAGGATAGCAGAGATGTTGTGAGAGAGTCTGGCCATGTCACTGCTGCTCCTCGCTGCTACTACCTTGCTTGCCTGGGTCATGGGCTCCTGTAGACACAGACGAGACTATGTAACTGAGGATGTGACACACCCTAGCAGGAAGATTACGTTAGTGTACTGTCATTCAACAACAGTACCATCAACAACATTGCTATCAACAACAGCACTATCAACAACAATATCATCAACATGAGCACCGTCAACAACAGTACTATCATTCATCAACAGTACCATCGACAACAGTACTATCAACAACTGTACTATCAACAACAGCACTATCAACAACAGTACTCTCAACAACAGTACTATCAACTACAGTCCCATCAACAACATTACTATTAACAAGAGTATGATCAAAAAGAGTACCATCAACAACAGTACTATTATTCAACAACAGTAAAAACATTCAGTAATAGTACCAACATTCAAAAACAGTATCATCATTCAACCAAAGCACCATCATTCAACAAAAGCACCTTCATTCAACAAAAGCACCATCATTCAACAAAAGCACTATCATTCAACAAAAGCACCATCATTCAACAAAAGCACCATCATTCAACAAAAGCACCTTCATTCAACAAAAGCACCATCATTCAACCAAAGCACCATCATTCAACCAAAGCACCATCATTCAACAAAAGCACCATCATTCAACAAAAGCACCATCATTCAACAAAAGCACCATCATTCAACAAAAGCACAATCATTCAACAAAAGCACCCATCATTCAACAAAAGCACTATCATTTAACAAAAGCACCATCATTCAACAAAGGCACCATCATTCAACAAAAGCACAATCATTCAACCAAAAGCACTATCATTTAACAAAAGCACCATCATTCAACAAAGGCACCATCATTCAACAAAAGCACCATCATTCAGCAAAAGCACCATCATTCAACAAAAGCACCATCATTCAACAAAAGCACCATCATTCAACAAAAGCACCATCATTCAACAAAAGCACCATCATTCAACAAAAGCACTATCATTCAACAAAAGCACCATCATTCAACAAAAGCACCATCATTCAACAAAAGCACCATCATTCAACAAAAGCACAATCATTCAACAAAAGCACCATCATTCAACAAAAGCACCATCATTCAACAAAAGCACTATCATTTAACAAAAGCACCATCATTCAACAAAGGCACCATCATTCAACAAAAGCACCATCATTAACAAAAGCACCATCATTCAACAAAGCCCATCATTCAACAAAGCACCATCATTCAACAAAAGCACCATCATTCAACAAAAGCACCATCATTCAACAAAAGCACTATCATTCAACAAAAGCACCATCATTCAACAAAAGCACCATCATTCAACAAAAGCACCATCATTCAAACAAAAGCACAATCATTCAACAAAAGCACCATCATTCAACAAAAGCACCATCATTCAACAAAGCACTATCATTTAACAAAAGCACCATCATTCAACAAAGGCACCATCATTCAACAAAAGCACCATCATTCAACAAAAGCCCCATCATTCAACAAAAGCACCTCATTCAACAAAAGCACCATCATTCAACAAAAGCACTATCATTTAACAAAAGCACCATCATTCAACAAAGGCAACATCATTCAACAAAAGCACCTCATTCAACAAAGCACCATCATTCAACAAAAGCACCATCATTCAACAAAAGCACCATCATTCAACAAATGCACTATCATTTAACAAAAGCCCCAAATCATTCAATAAAGGCACCATCATTAAACAAAAGCACCATCATTCAACAAAAGCACCATCATTCAACAAAAGCACCATCATTCAACAAAAGCACCATCATTCAACAAAAGCACCATCATTCAACAAAAGCACCATCATTCAACAAAGCACCATCATTCAACAAAGCACCATCATTCAACAAAAGCACCATCATTCAACAAAAGCACCATCATTCAACAAAAGCACCATCATTCAACAAAAGCACCATCATTCAACAAAAGCACCATCATTCAACAAAAGTGCCATCATTCAACAAAAGCACCATCATTCAACAAAAGCACCATCATTCAACAAAAGCACCATCATTCAACAAAGGCACCATCATTCAACAAAAGCACCATCACTTCCGCAAACCAACATCCACCCACACAAAACAAACACCTGTTAATTTTCAGATGGACGTTCATCCATCGTGATTGATTTAAAACGCTGTTGACCAGATTTATAGTCGTCATGACTTAGACGATAATATTAACGACTCGTTGTAATGTACTATATATTACATTCATTTTTTTTTATTTCTCTCGAGGCATACGTAGATATGCACAATTTGATACAGAAGTAGGCGCAAGAAGAAGGACCGAACTCTCTGAAGTAAGATGTAAAGGGTAAGTAGTGCTTCTCACCTGTATGGACTCTCTGGGCTGGTCCCTCTGGGCTCTAGTACTGTTGTCTGTTTTCCCCAGACCTTCACTCGCACGAACTGGGCGCACCAGTGTATGGATCTGTGAGTGAAGGCCCGTGTTGTGGGCGTGGAGGGTAGCGTAGGCGTGGGCGGGTGTGGGAACATAGGTATGCACAGACGAGGTGGCTGCTCGCTGGTCTAGAGGTTGGCTGAGTTGGAGGCAGTGTGACATCGTG